AATATCAAACTACAAAATCTTTTTTATTTTTTTTCATTGGTTAATAAATGTTACACAAAAAAAAAAAATAAAAAATATAATTTTGTTATTAGTATACCATACAATACAATACAATACAATACCATATCTTATCTAATATTAAATTTGAGACTCTTTTTTTTTTTTTTATATTTTTTTTTTTGAATCCAATATTCTAGTTGCAAGTGCTGGTTCAAAAAAAAAAGAGTAATATCGTGATTTAATTATTGACGTTTAAATATTAAATACCCACTTTGGATTAAGCTTTTACTTTTTTAATTAACCAGCTATTTTTAGGTAAAATGTAAACGTCATACAAGACTAGTCAAGTCATTATTATCTATCTATCTATCTATCTAGTTAGATAAAGTAATAATGTAGTACCAAATTAAAAGATATCATTCAAGTGGTGTTCAAAAAAAAAAAGGGTTAATTCGAAATAGCTTCACTTCCTATTTTTTTTTTTTTAATCAAAGGGTTATCTTTAATTTAAGAACTTTGACAACAATCGAATGATATAAATTTTTTTTTTTTTTAGTTTTTTTTTTTTTTTTTTGACAAAAATCATGCTTCAATCACTTTCTAAACAGAAAACCTGGTTTACTAACTAACACATGTTAACCATAAGATTGGGATTTAATTCAAAAAGATTATCTTAACTAAGTTAATACCAATATCATGTTTTTTTTTTTAAGGAGGTGTTTTTTTTTTTTTTTTTTTTTTTTATAAATACAATAGAACCCCAGATATCTGGTTATTATCGTGATTCTTAAAAATTAAATTAAAAAACTAAAATACCCCAGATATTCTTAAATCATAAGATAAATTTTATAATTATCATTCTGTAAAAAAACAAAAAAAAAAAAAAAAACAGGTGACAGAATTCAACTAGTTTGAGCTCAGTTTTAGAATTTCGATTTCCTAACAGAATGGTCCAGGAAGCTGGGCAATAGTTACCTTAAAACCAGATCATACCATACCATAAAAAACAAAAATCCAAATTTTATTTTTATTTTTAATATTTTTTGAAAATAATTCTTTCTTTCTTTTTTTTTTTTTTTATTTTATTCTTGTGTTTTTCATCAATTTAAATTCCTCGAGGTGGGTTTATACCCCTATTTCTTCTAGTGTTTTGTTGATGATGATGATGTTGTTGTTGTTGTTGTTGATATCCAGGATAAATTACTACTACTACATCAGAAAAACCCATATAATGGATTAAGATATGGTCCCAATTATAATTATTAGTAAATATATAAATGACGAGACTTATTAATTAAGTAGAACTAAAATTGGTTATGATTGAATTTAGTCTTTTTCATTTTAATTAAAATGATAAAACTCCTACTTTCATTACCACTACTACTATATACTACTACTACTTTCATTACAATCTAAAAATTTGTCCTTTTAAAAATACTCCACCCACCCATACATACCATATCTTTATTATGCAAAGAGCTTTTTCATTCTAACACCAAATATATATATATATTTTTTAAAAATATACTAAACTTTTATAAAAAAAAAAAAAAAAAGAAAAAAAAAAAGGAATCTTTTCAAGATTTATGATTTTATCTTTTTTTTTAAAAATTCTGGATTTTTAGTTCTTTAAAAATCTAGCCCTTCAGCGTATCCCCAAAACATTTTTTTTTTTTTAAAAAAAAAAAAACATAACTTACCCAAGACTTACAAAAAAATTGATAAATAATTCATTCTCTGAATAATAATTTAATTATTTTTTGATTCAAAAATACACAAGAAATTTGAATTCTATCATAAGTAAATACCCTAGAAATTTATATTCTATTATAAGTAAATACCCAAGAAATTTATATTCTTTTATCAGTAAATACTCGTGGTCTAACAAGACTTTGTCTTTAAGTCCTATAATAAATATATGACATCTTATTCTTTTTTTAAAAAAAAATAACAACAAAATAAAGTCAATCATAACCAGATAAATTACAGTTAATTGCTAAATTGATGATGAATTGTCAGAGTAAAGATTTTAACCACTTAACAACTTTTTTTTAAAAAAAATTGTATTAACAATGCTCTCTGATCAAGTGCTTTTCATTAAAAATAATTTTTAATATTCATTATTATTTAAATATAATCAATAAAATATTTCATATAAACTACAATTTCTGTAGTATTTATAGATATATCAAAAGGTTTATTTCTAATAATTTTTTTTTTTTTTTTTTTTTTTGCAATACAATGAATTCGAAACAATTTCATAAAAATTTGGAATCATCTTTTTGAATTATAATTTTAGATGAAATGAAGTTATGTGTTTGAGAACAAATAAGTTTTGATGTTATAAAAAAAAAAAATAGAAAAGTAAAAATGACTTTTGTATTTTCTTTGAAATTTGAAGTGAAAGTTGGCAAAAAAAAAAAAAAAAATGAAATTTACCCACCCAAAAACTGAAATTCACTAAAATTTTACCATGGGACACATTTTATAAGATTATATA